TATTTTCCAAAGCACCAGAAGACAGGAGAAGAAACAATGGATGGAAACTAATCAAAGAGAGAATCAACCTGGAATTAAGGAGAAACTTCCCTACAACTTTGGATTTCTACAGGCTGCTATTAACCAGTGGAACAGCTTGCCTCCAGAAGTTGTGAATGCTCCATCACTGGAGGCTTTTAAGAAGGGACTGAACAGGCTTTTGTCTCTAATGGTATAGGATCTCCTCTTTGGGGAGGGGGTTGGAATGGAAGACCTCCAATGTCCGTTCCAAGACCATTATTCTATGTTCTTTGGTTATCACTAAGCCCAGCCAATCTCATTTCTTTCCTAATTAGGTTCCTTTATTACAGAATGTTTATTAATCCTTTCCAAAGCAGGAATAACTATCCTAATTGATATAATCCAAAGCTTCTACAGAGGAGAAGGATGCGTTTTCTGGTCAAATATATCAAAAGTGATGATCCCCCCCATTTCTTCCAAAACAAGCAATGTTGACCAAATCTAAGCTCCCTCTCTAAATCTCGGGCTTCCCATCATTGAGATTTTTTGTGGAAATGGGCTTTGTGTAACTCTTTGGTGGGCAACCGAAAAGTGGCAGCACATGAGCTTCGTGGAAATGTTGCAGATAGTTGCGATGGTGCTTTTGTTAGTAAAGCGTGATGCTTCTAACATCAAACTATAGATCAGACCTAAAAGATAAAAGTTTTCTTCAAGTTGATTTCAATCTTCTGGTGATTGTATCATCAGCTGTGTAACCATGGGAGGGACTTGTGGGTGTGGACTTCGAGCAATGCACTGCCTTGGACTCTGATTTACTTTTGGATGCTAGTTGGAACCCTGACAGACATATCCGTCCATTTTAATCAGCAACAAATGACATGTCCTTAGATCATGGTGTCAGGTACGGAGGATTTAATAGCTGCCAGCTGATGTAAGGTTGTAAGATGTAAATTGATGCAATGAGGATGAATTAGAAATACACTATAGCCAGTTTAAGACTCCATACAAGTCTTTTACCATTTTAAGAGGTGTCTATATAAAGGTGGCCATTAGAGGGCGTCTCCCTCTCGCCATGTATCTCATTTCTCTCCTTGTGTGCGTAGCTGAGTGGTAAGGGATTTATCTGCCATGTGTATGTCTGTATATATGTATATATAAACCACTATTAATTGTCTAAAGGCTCTGTGTGCTGTGCTGTGTTCTGCTCCTGGGTTTATCTCCTAATAATAATCACACTGCCACAGCTCTGACGCATGGCCTCTGTATCTCTCTATTTTGAATTGTGAATTTTGCCTCGTTTTACAACCTTTTGTGCTACAGTTGGTAAGTGAATCACTGCAGTTGATAACCTGGTTGTTAAACGAACCCAGCCTCCTCATTGCTCGTTGGACAGTTGCAAAAGGGGACCCCATCACCCCAAGACATTGCAACGATCATAAATACGAGTCAGTTGCCAAAGCTTGTCTGAAGTTTTGATCACGCGACCATGGGGATGTAGCAGTGGTCGTAAGTCATTTTTTCCAGTGCCATAGTAATTTCCACAATCACTAAATGAATTGTAGCAAGTCAAAGACTAACATGTTTTATGAAAAGGCCCAAGCTTTCGTGAGCTAAAGGTTAGCTCTTCGGTTGCACGGATACGTCTTTCTGAAATGGAGCCCATAGACGATTTTCTAAGTCTGCATACTTGGAATATTTGGGGTACTTACCAACGTATCCTGGGGTGCCACAGGCCGTGGACATGACATCTCCTTTCCCCTCCATTTTGGACAATCCAAAATCACTGATCATGATTTTAGAGTCTTCATCCTGGCTGTAGTAGAGCAGATTTTCAGGCTGTAGGGAACAGCAGAAAATTAAAAAACCATGATGTGGGACGATAGAAGAATACAGATTTTGAGCCCATTAAGATGTGTTTCCAGTTTTTCCCAGGGTTTTTTTCCCCCCTGATGCAAAAATATGTTTAAAATCGCGTGCCGAGCCTGCAGCAATGAATAGGAAGGCACGCGGTTTTCCTTAATAAGAAACAAAATGGAGTTAAACTCAATTAAACCAAATGGAGTGAAAGAGGGATGCATCTTGAGGAGAGGTGCCAGAGGGAGAGTCTTAGCAGTTGCAACGGATTAAACGACGCTTCCTGGAAATAATTTTCAAGGACCTTATAGAAAGGTATGCGCGCTCTGCCTGTTTCCCTGGCTGCAACAGGCTGAGATGATTTCTGTGTGTGTAGGTTTCAGCAATAAGACAGCTAATTGGATTCTGATAATGAAACTAATAAATGCAGTAATAAAACAATAAAATAGGTAATTGAACTCTGAAGGGTGGGCCTGGATATTAGCGCCGGAAATTAAGCATCTTAGGCTCACGGTTTGCGCCTGGGTGAGACTAGATAAACGGCATTCATGGGGACTTCGGCCGCTTGTGCTCACATAGAGATTCTAGACTAAGTCCTTGTTTGACTCCTTCTCCCGGCTCAGCCAGTCTCTCTCCTACACGCCTCTTCCAATTAAAAAAATAAATAAATCAGTCAATTAGGCTTGAAAAGGAACATTGAGGAGAAACACGAGAAGAACAGGTTGGGTCATGTCCCTTGTGAGGGAGCCAGACATGACAACGATGAGGTAAAGGATGATCTAGATTGAGTCTCTGTATTCACCTACAATTTTGCCTGACTAGCAAAATTTGCAAGCATCTAAAATATTAATACTTAATCTCATATTAAGGGTGGCTCAGTGGCTGAGAGGCTGAGCTTGTCAATCAGAAAGGTCGGTAGTTTGGCGGTTCGAATCCCTAGCGCCGCGTAACGGAGTGAGCTCCCGTTACTTGTCCCAGCTTCTGCCAACTTAGCAGTTGGAAAGCATGTAAAAAATGCAAGTAGAAAAATAGGAACCACCTTTGGTGGGAAGGGAACAGCGTTCTGTGTGCCTTCGGCATTGAGTCATGCCGGCCACATGACCACGGAGACGTCTTCGGACAACGCTGACTCTTCGGCTTTGAAACAGAGATGAGCACCGCCCCCTAGAGTAGGGAACGACTAGCACATAAGTGCGAGGGGAACCTTTACCTTTACCTAAAATATTAAAACTGGGTAATGAAAACAAGCATATTTGGAGGGAGGTGCCTCTCTCTTTTGGTAATATTATTGCAATAAGTCAAAGATTTCTATGCAATTGCTAAAGGGTTATATTAAGTAGGAATCCGCCAATTTGTTGATTTAGGACATACCGTTCTGGATCATACAGAAGTTTTTTAAAGCTTTCTGTGCCCAGAATACCTCAAACTCTTTGTGGTTTTGGCAAATTCACTTCCATCAATTGGCTAAATGGTGCCAGTCCTAAATTTTACGTTCTGGAGGAAAACAGAAAAAAAAATTCAGAATTCCCTCAAGGTGCTCTGCTTCCAGGCTGATGAATTCTATAGATCTCTAAAATAAGTGCAAATCCATTTCCAGAATGATAAAATCAGCCTTTGAAATGTGTTCTTATTAATCCATTGAACATCTAATAAATACTTGTGTGATGGCGGTTTTCAATCAATTCTTATTCGTGATCAAACAAAAGAAGGTAATCAGGCGCATTTTTACATTGGCTGGGAAGTGAGCAATTTTGCTGATTTGAGATCAATCGACAAGCATATTTAAATGTGTGTGAGAGAGAGGGAGGGAAGGAGGGAGGGAGGGAAGGAGGGAGGGAGAGAGAGAGATTTTCAGCCGCATTGGAAACAGGCTTGCCAAGAAAAATCCCTATCATAATTTAATATATTTCTTTTACAAACGAATGTTCCAGGCAGGGAATTCCATGAAATGATAAGGAACAGATTGGATGATTTAATGGATGTTAAATCTGGATGTGAGGAGTTATACCACCATTTAAGGCAACATAAACATCGTATTATGGGGGGAAAGTGGGCCTTTGTTTAATATTCACGTGAGACGAGAACATTAAAGAGATTCATACAACTGTTATCTATGTGATTGCAATTTATTTTATTTGTGTGTGGATACATGTGTGTGTTGCATTTTTATTAGCTGTGTACCTGTCCTTGGGGAAAAGTGCTTTGCAAAGCACGAGAGTACTTGTGAACACTTCTTTTCTCGTGTTTAAATTAGAAATGGTTTAATTTGATGGTTATTAAAAGCAGCTGCGTCTTCTCCCAGGCTCCCACACTTCTGTGAGAGTCCGGCCTCTGTCTACCTGTATGCACCTGTGTGTATAGCCACAATATTTGGAGAGAGAGAGAGACTGGCAGAATCAGCTTCAAAAGCAGCCATGTGTAAAAGACACGGCTGCTTTAAAGAGATTGAAATATCCCCACATTATTAAAAAAAAAAGCTGTTTAGAGTTTGGAAAGAGTGGAGAGAAGAGCAACAAAGATGTTTAGGAGCCTGGAGGCTAAACATAGGAAGAACAGCTGCAGGAACTGGGCACATCTAGTCTAGTGAAAAGAAGGATTAAGGGGGACATGTTAGCAGCCTTCCAATATTGTATTTTTATCTATCTATCTATCTATCTATCTATCTATCTATCTATCTATCTATCTATCTATCTATCTATCT